AATTCTAGTTCTTGTTGTCTCTGTAAACCTCAGAGCCATGACCTTCAATGCCGGCACGTCATAAACCCCGAGTATCATCGATAACCATTACAACAAGAACCGCAATCTTATCCTCCTTTCCCTCCATGTAGTGAATCAATCGAGAAAGGGACATTGGAGCTTTGTTGACCCTGCTCATGAACAGTCTCTTCAGAATCACCGCATTGAAGTTGCTTCCGGCCCTCCGTACCAAAACCCTATACAGCTTGATGAGCAACTTGAGATAAAGACCATTGGGTTTTGGGGCAGTTCTCTTGGTCTTCTTACTTTTGCCTCCTGCAACTAAGTTGATACTCATTGCTGCCTCTGCTTCTCCTACTCCAACTCTTGCTGCCTGCTGCTCTTCTTACCTGCCGCAAGTGCTGATGGTTGAGAGAGAGGCTACCCCTACTTATCTCTTTATCAAGAAAAATCCTTTGATTTGAAGGAGGCACGAGATGCTACCTCCCCAAAGGGATGAGTAGTACAGACCCAAACACTGCAAAATTATAAATTAGCCCAATACAAAGAAACCCAAAAAACCCCGTGTTTAGCCAAAAAGTCTGCTAATGCATTAGCTGATCTACTGACCCATTGGAAATTGACTGTCATGTTTCTTGTAAGCCATTTTACTATCCTCAGAAGATCTCTGTAACCCCAAGTGACAGTGTCTAGATTCTACAACCAACTATCACCTTGGAATCTCCTTCAACTACCAAATTTTCCATTCCATGTTGGCTTGAAATCTGTAAGCCCCTGTAAAACTGCTAGTATTTCAGCCCTTGTTGAGTCTCCAACTCCTACCGGGACTGAGAATAAGGAAATAATGTTGTTGTTCTTATCCCTCAAGATTCCACCAATACCTAAGGGCCCTAGGTTACCTTGACTGTTGCCATCAAAATTCAGCTTAATTACCCCTTCTGGAGGAGTCCACCTTGCCTGTAATCTGGTTTTCTTTGAAGCTATTGAAACCACCGCTGCCCAACTCCTCCAAATATTGTTATAGGAGTAGTCCACAAACAGTTCTGAGGTTTTCAGCCATAGGATGGTCCGTGTTAATATGCATTCCTTGACTTCCTCAAGATTTCTTTCTTTTTCTTGGAAAATCCTAGTGTTCCATTCCTCCCAGATGCTCCATACCATAGCTGCTCTTATGCATTTCCACATAAGCTTCCCACTCTTCGTTGGCCATCCAAGAATTGATGGATCAAAGAGCAGATTTACATCAAAAATAAGGTTCCACCTGCAGCCAAATAAAGAGAAAACCCAATTCCAAACATTTGTAGCAAAGGAACAAGATATTAGCAAGTGGTAACAGTCCTCGTTCTATACTTTACACATTGTGCACCAGTTTGGGTTCAAGCACGAACAGGTTTCTTCTTCTACCGATTATCCACAATATTAACCTTACCATGATAAACTTCCCAACAAAAGGCAGTTATTCTGGGGGGAGTGGGCCTAGACCAAATTTCCTTCACTAGGAAAACCTAAGGGGATGGAGAAGAACAAAGGAGCTTGAAGAAGGAAGCACAAGTAAAGGAGCCACTCAGTACCAAAGTCCAAACTCTTCTATCTAGCTTAAGGGGGTCCAGGCAAATAGACTCCAATAAAGATAAAAGCTCTGGCATGCAAGAAGAAAACGTCCAAGAAGGGTTGGATCTAAGGGAAGCTTGCAATAGATTAGGGAAACTCTAACCCCCACTCTCTTGTAACTCCTGCTTTGCTTTCTTTCTCCTCTGATCAAGTTTGCGTGTCTAACCCTGTCCTCTTGCTCTCCCCTTCCTCTGTGTGCAGATCCAGATCCAGACCAGGCTATGTTCGCAGAGAACCCTTGTGTTGTGCCTCGAAGCCTAAAAAAGGGATTTTGAGAGAGGAAGTGAAGGAGACCGAGGGAGAGAGTAGAACAATAGATCCAACTGTTGAGAACCCAACAGTGTTGGGGGAAGAAGAGGTTAGAAATTCAGGAGCAAAAGTTGCGCCTAGTGGCCCAAGAGGGGAAGCATTAGAGCCAAGAATAGGAGATGAGTTGACCCAAGGGAGATTGTCATGATAAAAAAGGAAAGGGAGAAGGAAAGAAACCCACTAAGAAGCAAAAACCCCAAGGGATTGTAGGCCAATTAGCTTGGTGGGTAGCCTTTACAAAATAATAGCAAAAGTTCTTTCATGAAGGTTTAAGAAGGTTTTACCCATAGTTATCTCACAAAACCAAGTTGCCTTTGTAGAAGGGAGACAAATTGTGGACTACATTCTAGTGGCTAATGAACGCGTAGCAGAGAAAAAGAAGAAAAAAGGGAAAAGGATTTATTTGAAGGTTGCACTTAGAGAAGGCTTACGACTTGGTGGATTGGTCCTTCCTTCTAGAGATTATGGAGAGAGTTGGTTTTGGGGAGAAATGGAGATCTTGGATCAAGGGTGGTTTAAGCTCAGTGCAGCATTCTATTTTGATCAATGGGTCTTCTAGAGACTTCTTCCCAGCCAAAAGATTTGAGATAGGGTGACCCCATATCCCCTTTCCTCTTTACCTTGATTGCTCAAGTCCTAAGTAGAGTGATCATAAAGGCAGACTTGGATAACCTAATCAAAGGCTAGGGAGTGGGAAGGGCTAAGGTGGTTATCCGTTTGCAATTTGCAGATGATATCATCTTGTTTTGTGATGATTTCAGCCTTGAAATCCTCAGAAAGCTAAAGACCCTTGGCAGCTCTTTTGAGAATCTCTCTAAGTTAAGGATCAACTTGAGGAAGGATTGTTTGGGGGACTAAATATGCAAGAGAAAACCCTTAGAATAGAAGAGTTCTTAGGGTGTGAAGTCAAAAATTGGCCTTCAGAGTACCTTAGTTTACCTTTGGGAGGAAATCCTAGATCTCAAAGCTTTTGGAAGCCTGTGCTAGAGAGGTTTACTAAAAAATTGGCTCTTTGGAAAAGAAGCTACATTTCTTTGGGTGGAAGGATAACCTTGATCAAAGCCACCTTAGCTAATCTCCCCATTTACTTTTTGTCCACTTTCTGTATCCCTACAAAAATTGCTCGGCAACTAGAAAGTTGATGGGGGGTTTCTTGTGGGAAGCGAGGGAGGGAAAGAAAGACCACCTGATGAAATGGAGAACAGGTTAGCAAACCCAAAGAAAAGGGTGGGTTAGGAATATGAAATTTAACCAAAAGAATATAACCCTCTTAGTGAAATGGCTGTGGAGGTTCCCTTCGGAAAGTGATAGGATTTGGCACAACGTGATGGCAAGCATACATGGTTGGATGGACAATAGTTGGGATGTAAAGGTAGCTTCCAATGCAACATCTTTTTCTCCCTGGAAAGCAATTTTTGAGATTTATCCTTCTTTTGTGAATCTCATCCGATATGATGCAGGAAACGGATTAAGAGTCTTGTTTTGGGAGGACCTTTGGATAGGTGCACAACTACTAAAGGTCCAATTTCCTGTGCTTTATGCACTATCAATTTGAACCCATCTCTAATTTTGTAAACTGCTCTACATCGGGCATAAATTGGGATTTTGGTTTTAGAAGAGGCATGAGGGAAATAGAATGTGAATCTCTTATTCCCCTTTTGGCCAATCTTGACTCTACCTTCTTGGATCAAAACGTAGAGGACAACAAGGTTTGGTCTATCACTTCAGATGGTACTTCCACTTGTGCTTCTTTTTTCAACTTCTTAGTTCAACCTACAACCATGGGGGTAAATTTCCCGATGAAAGAAATTTGGAGTAAGCCAATCCCTCCTAAAATCCAGACACTTTGTTGGGAAGATTAACACTCATGATATGCTACAGAAAAGAAGGCCAAACAAATGCCTTTCTCCTCACATATGCTTTCTGTGTAATAGCAATGGTCAAACCATTTCCCATATATTTTTATCCTGTCCTTTTGTACTTTTGTATTTGGGAGCAGCTTTGTTCTCTCTTTGGGTGCAAGTGGACTCCTACTCAGGATGTGGTGGGTCTTTTTGATCCAAATTTCTTGAGATAACCGAAAAAAAGGGGAAGAATTTTGTGGAAAGCAGTGAGAGCCACCATGTTATGGACTATATGGAAAGAAAGGAATAGGAGGATCTTTAATGAAAAAAATCGATCAGAAATGGAAGTCGTGGATGTGGTAAAAATTAAAATTGCACATTGGGTGAAAGCCATGGAGGATTTCCAAGGTTTCTCAACAAATGACATTTTGAGAACTTGGAAGGAAGTGGCTTCTTCGGCTCAAGCCAAGGAAAGAGTAAATATGGAATGGAGACCCCCAACAATCAACTTTGTCAAACTCAATTTTGATGGGAGTTACATTGGTAGTCAGATTGTGGCAGGGGGGAGGGGTTTTCAGGGACTCGGAAGGAAAGATGATTAAAATTGTATTCAGGGTCACTAACAGATGGTAATGCATTGAAAACAGAGTTGTGGATTACTCCATGGGCTAAAATTTGCTAAGAAATTTGGTTTCAACAACTTGGAGGTGGAAGGGGACTCACAGGTAGTCATTTCATGGACAAGAGGTAGCTCCCAAGTCCCTTGGGTCTATAGATATACTTTTTGGGAAATAGAAAGCATATCACAGGAGCTAAATGTTGTCTTCAATTGGGTGAGAAGGTCAGCAAATGGGATGGCAGATGTATTAGCCAAATAAGGGACGGCGAGACACCAAATGTTCTGGGCAAAATTATAAATTATAAAGAGTGTCTCTAGGGTGGAATTTCCACCTATTCTAATACTTAATATTGATACTAATAAAATCTTTCTCTTACTGATAAAAAAAAAAAAAAAAGTAACAAGCATGCAATACACAGGACCAACCAATGGGAAAACAAAGTCATAGCCTATGTTACTGCTACAATGCAACCTAATAGGGGCTTCCCTGTCCTAAGGCCAACAAAGAGCTGCTCTGTTTGAGCAAAGCCCATGATACATTTGAGCAACTTTTTTTAATGAAATACAATACATCAGGGAACAGTACCAAAACTGAATAACTTGATGAATGAACTTACTGTGTTTGAACCAACGAATGATATGGTCTTGATATCTTCATCATCACAAATTTCATTGAGAATGTCCTGCTCAAGTTATAATTTGAACACAAACTCTCTCAGAGCTAGAATAATTAGCTAAAAGCTAATAGGAAATTGTAATCACAAACACAAAGAATAAAAATAAAAGTTAATGGAATATTGCACACATGGCCTATATCTAAGACCAGAAAAAGAAAGAATAGAAGCAACAAATAAAATATTCCATATTGTTAGAGAATAAAAACATATTCAAGGACCTCATTATAATTAATTAAATTTCAGCACAACATATAGGTGGGTCTGTGCTTGCCAACGCTTAAAGCCCAATTGGATTGCGCGTGACGGGGTGTGTCAGAGAATAAAAACATATTCAGGGACCTTGCCTAACAGCTTAAGCGTTTTAGGTTGAACGGTTCCTTGAGACTCGTCATCCCTCATATTTGATTTCTTAGCATGAAGTGAAAGAATGGACTCCATGCAAGTTTATGAGAATCACAAAAACAGACTCACATTATTGCCATGAACAATGTTTAAGACACCATTGGGCAGACCAGCCTCCACTGCTAGCTCAGCAAGTATCATTGAAGCCCCTGAAAAAGACAATAAAAATATTAGATATGATACAATCTATAACTTGGAGATGCAAGACCATGGCCAATTACCATCATAATTTTTTTTCATCCAGTTAAATAAGCTGTTCCTCAAGTTTCCATTTCTATACTGTTGAGTTTTGGGCTGATATATTTATTTACTTAGCATAGTTAGGGAGTTATTGGGCCTTAGGCCCATTAGTTTATGTTTTAAGTTAAGAGTGTTTTTTAAGTTCTCACAAGTAGCCGACTTAGTAAGGGCATACTTGTCTTTGTACTCTCTTTTATTTATGAGTATATAATCTAATGAAAGGGGCAGACAGACATAATTCTGAACTTCTCCCATTCTCTTCCATCTCTCATCTCTCTTTTTCTTAGCTGAAACCTTTTCTCCTCTTTCTTTTCTTCTTTCTTTTGCAGTTTTTATATCAAAACAGGTTGTTCAAACCTTTCTACTTGGTATCAAAGCAAGTTTAAACATTTCTTGAGCTGCTCCATCATGCAGCCCTAGATCAACCGATTGCATGATAAGGTAAAGGGCTGATTGAAGACTTCAGGTAAGCTTAGTTTTAGATTTTTTGGTGGAATTGCAATCCCTTGTAGCTGGTCTAGGGTTTTACACCAAAATCAGGAAGAACTGGAGAAAAGGGGAGAGTCTTGTTTTAGTAGGACTCTTCAATTTTGACCTAGGAAGTGGCGCTCTAGTTTTCTAAGGTTCCTTGAGGTTTTCTAAAGGGGGTGGTTCAAGTCCTAGCCTTTTTGGAGGTCTCTGGAGGGAGCGACAGCCTCTTCTCTCTCTTCTCCCACTCCCACGGAAAAAGGAATCTTTGGAGGGAAGGGCTTCTAGGGTTCCAAGAGGGTGTTTGAGGTTTCTAAAGGAGATAAATACCTTCCTTTTCATCTCAAATTGATTTCCTAACCTATTTTGAGAGTTATGGAGGGTTGTGTAGTTGAAAACAAATTTTCAAGAAAAATGGGATTCGGGGGAGGAGGTGCTAGAGACCTCTTCGGGGCCGGAACCATCACTAGAGTCAAGTTGGATGGTACAAACTACTTAGAATGGTCACAATCTGCAAAGATGGCCATTGGTGCTCGTGGGAAATTGGGGTATGTCATCGTTGAGGAAAAGAAACCTGAAACTAACCATTCCCGGTGGGTACAGGAAAACTACATGGTGATGACTTGGCTGTGTAATTCCATGTTGCCCTATATAAGTAAGAACTTTTTATGGGCTAACATAGCTAAGGAGATTTGGGATGGAGTAGCAAAAACCTATTCACATAATGAATATGTTGCTAGAGCCTATCAGTAATTGCTAATAGGCAGGGAGATAAGTCTGTTGCTATTTATTTTTCAGCCCTAAAATCCTTATGGCAGGAGATAAATCATTTGGAAACTATGATTTGGGAAAGTAGCAAAGATGCAGCAACTTATTAGAAGTTGGTAGAAAAGAATAGGGTTTTTGAACCCTGAATATGATATTGCACGATAACATATTCTTTCCCGAGACAGTGTAACTCTCTCTTAGGCATATGCTTTTGTGTCTATAGAGAAGAGTAGGAGAAATGTGATGAAAAGGAACCCATGCCTTGAACAAACAACTATGGTTAGCACAGTGAAGCCTAGGCCGAGTGGGGATAAGGGTGGAAATGAACCGAGGAAGGAGGACAAAAGGGATCTGAGTTGTGACTACTGTAAGAAACCCAAATATACCAGAGATACCTACTGGAAGCTTTACCCACACCTTGTATTGAGCTGGCTCAGAAATAAGAAGGGAAATGTGAATATGGAAGTGACTAGTGATTTATCAGGGCCACCTACTACAGCCTCTTTAGAATCTATTGCAGCAGCTGCAGTGAGGGCTGAATCAGAGATATATGGACAGTTCCTAAATCAGAAGGATACAGCCAATTCGAACTCAGTATCAGGTGGATAGCAAGGTGCAAGTGGATCAAGAGGTAGTCATTCTATCTCGTTTGCACACACGGGTAGTTCACATGCCACTACAAATTATGTATCCACTACAGGTAAGGGGGGACCTCCCTGGATTATAGACTCAGGAGCCTTAGAACATATGACCAACATTTCCACCATTTTCACCTCATACCACCTCTGCTCTAGTAAAGATAAGAGTTTCCACAGTTGATGGATCACATGTTCCCATTGCTAGGAAAGGGTCTATCAAGATAACTGATACCATTACCCTACCTTCTATCCTTGTTCCTAGACTGAGTACTAATCTTTTATTTGTTAGTAGCTTGACAAAGAATTTGAACTATTCTGTGATTTTTTTCTCCTGGTCATTGTGTTTTGTAGGATCTGAAATCAAAGAGGATGATTGGGAGTGGTCGTGAGGTGAATGGAATATATCTTCTTGATGTGCTTCCCAGTCATCAAAGTCATCATGTCAGTAAGAGTATTGAGTCAGAGTCAGTGGGTCAAATTATGCTTTGGCATAAACGGTTAGGACATTTGTCTTTTACTTCTTTGCATTTTTTTTGTTTCCCAAATTGTTCGAGTCTGTTAGTTTGTCCAGTTTGGAGTGTGAAGGCTGCCAACTTGGAAAGCATTGTAGGCATTCCTTTAAAGCAATTAATAAAAGATGTTCTTTTGTTTTTGATATTCATATTGATGTGTGGGGGCCATACCATGTTTCTTCTATGTGAAAGAATGGTAGGATCCATCTAATGGACGCCAAAAAGATTGCAGAATGGGTGGGCGAATTTCAAAAATTTTCCTACATTCTCTCAACTGAGAATCGTATTCCCTAAATTTAGAATACAATATCCAAGGATCCTACTTGAACCATAATCGAACCAGATCTCAACGAAAAGGAAAAGGGAGGATTATACCTGATCCGGAGAAGTAGTATCTCCCAAAGTTGGTGTTCACGCCCAAAGAGGACACCAAGATCCGCTCCTGCTGAAGATGACACAGCTATAGGTGAAACGGAACCGGTAGAGTGCATCCTACACACTGGATCCTTCTCAAGAACCCTCTGGAAACTCTGAGCACCAAATCTTTTACAGTCTTTTCTGCAAGACTGATGTCAAGAATTGATTTCTTGATTTCTTTCTTCTGCAAAGATCAAATCTTGCAAGAAGGAATGGCGGCAGCTGGAGGAGAACTCCT